ATTGCCACTTGCTTAGCGAGTTCGCACTTCAATGCATTAGAATGGTTCACATGCGTACGCCACGGTCCTGCGTGACCCAATTCGTTCATCAAGTCACGCGTAACCGCTAGTGATTCCTCTAGTTGGGTGCGCGCATTTTCAACATCCAACGGCGTCATAGTACATTTCTTCACCTCATCTCGTGTAAATGGCCCGTTCTGTACCTCGCCACGCATGCTTGCAGGGGTTAACCGAAGAAGTGCAGCTATTTCCTCCTCTCGTGCCATCGGTGTGCGGTTGGCATCCCTCGGTACGTCACCGTATGGAGATGATCCGGAGCCTTCAGCTCGAGTATCATATCCACCGTCAATTGCATCCTCTTCAGTATGATAAAATGGAGATTCTTCTTCCCCTTCCAGGCGCTCAGGGTCCACAAAGTCGTCCTTGGTTGAGTACAAAAGCGCCTCATTGTGCCATATGTACAAGGCGTCTTGAAGACAAGTGAATTTGTCGTATGATCTATCGTCCAACTCGTCAACATCATCCGGATCAAACCACGCACACGAGTTCTCAGCAAAGAGAAGCCACCATTTGTGTAGCTGTAATTTCGTATTTTCCACAATCACATGAGTCGTCACAGATTTTAAGCGATTCACATGCGCGATGATGCGCTGGCGACGCAAGATAACATGATTAGCGTTGTCCACATGAAGCTCAGGTCGCTTCTCTTTCAGAGTGGCCACCAGGTCTTTCATAAGCACATCCAGGTCTTTCATATGTGTTGTAAGTCTCACCAACAGGTTACGTAGAAAATAACTGCTGCTGGGATGCATTCGCTGGCCACTTGTCGTAGCTGACAGATCAGAGTCACACGAGTCAACTTCGCAAAGGTATTCCGGGACGTCATCCTTGCCTTTCCACTGCAATACGTGGTTGACGACCTCAGGGCACTGTTCGATGGTTTCACGCACGAGAGAAATTGGAAGCGAGTCGAACAAACTAGACTCAATTGCAGAAGATCGGATCGGACGCAGGATGTACGTGAACAGATCAGATTCCAGCGTTCTCTCGTCCAAAACGTTTTCGTGACTGGCGCCTCCTCTGTTACTACCCATAACTTGTCTAGCCACATAGTGTTTCCCCAGCATATGAGCCACCAAAGCGAGTGAATGCAAAGTAACGATCAGATCCTGCATTTCACTCCACCCTTTGTGCCGTGAAGACTCAAACACACCCAGATCACCAATCAGCGGATGTTCACTAGGTGACGAGGAGAGAGGTGGCACCAAGTTCCCGAGTGCCCGCAGACGTTCAGCACACAACACAAGCTCTTTCCCCATATCGGCACGGTCAAGCAGATATCGATGTAGTATTTGAAGGTCGTGAGCTGTAAGGAGCCATCTCTCCACGTCGTGTGAGTACGCGCTGCTGTTTACAAGCGGTTCCAAGTAGAAATACTGGCGCTCGCCTGCCAGAAAGTGCAGCAACTTGCAGTCAGTCTCCGAAGTATAGTCTTGAATCAAATTAAGATCGCGGGTTAGACCAGGAAGGTCCCATGTCGAGCGGAAAGAATCACGACGAGGACTACTTTTCTCCGCGTTATCGCCAGCAGGGATATCCACGGACGCATCAGCCATTGCTTCATCATCATTCGATACATCCATCGATATATCAGCGTCTTCGCTAGGAAAGTCAAACGTATCTGTTCTGTTCTCATCATGATAATTGTTGTTCTCCACATTTGAATCCTCCACTGGCAGATCAATTGGACCTGACGTGATCATCTTCCCAAAGGCTTTCACCTTCTTTACCAAACGCATTAAGTCGTCGTCTTCGGCTAACTCACTAGAAATAAGCTGAATTCCAGCTAATCGCGGGTTACCGGCGCCCTGGCGCTTAGCCTTTAAGACGCCTACTCGCAAATTGGGAGCAAGCACAGGGTTAGTCGCTGGTGGACACGCATCGTGGGCCATACTAAGCCTCACAATCTCGCGCAGACATCGCTTTTTCTTGCTAGGCGACGATGTCGATAATGACGCAGTCATCGCGCTGCATTGCTTCTTTACCACAAGTTCTGCAACTTTCTTGCGGTGTTCCATCTCCTCATACTTGCGACGCAGCTGAAGATACTTATCACGCTCCAATAATTCTTGTGCGCGAGCGCGCTTGGCCTCGACTTCCAAGCGCCGCTGAATCATTACAGTTCGCGCCAGTCGTATCCGGTATGCCTCCCTCTCATCACGAAGACACCGTTCTTCTTCTGCTCTCGCCACGGCGTCGTTTACATCTGTGTCTCTGTCATCCTTATACTCTTCGTCCTGATTCCTAGCAGTACGTCGCGACCGTTGTACTTGATTCTCGTTAACAGTACGTAAATCCTCGCTTCTCCCCCGTTTTGACGCACTGCTTGAGGCATCACTCACTTCACGACGGCCTGCATAAAACACAAGCCATTAAAAATGTAACGTAATCCCAATAACAAATACTCAATCTCAGCCACTTACGTTTGGGATGTCGCTGTGCCATCTCTTCTCTTGGTTCACTTCGACTCCGACTCCGATCCCTGCTCGTCATTGTACCGTCACTAACCTGCTGCATCACCTCCGCTTGCTGCCGAATCTGCTGTTGCTTCTCTGCAGATTGCCCCTTTTCCTCATGCTCACTCCCTGTCTCCATATGAACCGCCACTTCCTGCACTGCATCGTCTCCTTCTACCTGCTGAATCTGTTCCATACTCCCCGCGTACTTCTTCAGCTGTTGCTCCGTGCTCTCCACTACCGCCTGCAATAACAATACACCGTCTTCCACCCGCTTGGTTGTGTTGGCCGAGATCATAAAAGCCATGGAAAACGCCTCCTCCTCTTTGGGTTCCTGTGTCTGCGTCTTGCGATAGCTGATGCTGCAGCGCGCACGTGACATGATATCATTGAGTTTTCCGCCATTTACGCCAATAACATGCGGCGCAAGCTGCTGCGGGTCCATCGTCGTCTTGACATGCACCATGCGCCCCACAGGCTTCTTTGTGTTGATCACCATCGAGACGGACGGCGTCACGCTCGCAGCTGCGGGTTTGGGCGGTGCAACCTCGCGCACATTGGGAATTGGAGCCGTCGGTGCACTCG